CCGAGGCTTTTTTCGCGTCAAGCAAGGAGTTATTTTGAGCCTCAAAATAGGAAAATGACAAAAGGGGCAGGATCTGGCAAAAAGGAGGATAAAGAAGTTCGACAACCTTTTCCTGTTTTAGATATTCTCGTACAATGGCCGCTTTGTGTGACGAAGCTTTGTCATGCAACAACCTCACACCATGGAGACCAGTTGCTGGTCGACGTTTTTTGAAATATTTCTTTCATTTATGAAGAACCTTGCCTTTGTAAAACTTGGCATTGACAGATTTACCCTTTGGTACGGCAATTTGTATAACAACATCGTGATTGGTAGAGAAAATTACATGCATGAGCTCTTTGACGCTCTTGGTGCGGTTTATTTTCTGAGGTCTTTGACTTTCTTTCAATTGGTTACTCATATTTTGTTATGTATCTTTTGCTTTGACTCATAAAAGTGAACCCAACTCTCAGAGATGATATTTTGGAAAGATCGCTTATTGTATTTAGAGATATGTTGCAACAATTAATTTAAGATTCTTACCCGATTCTTACACTTTTGTAAGAAGATGGGGTATTCATCTGGCACTTATCCTTCCCATTTTTTAATTACGTCTGAGAATTGTATGAGCGGCTCCTATAGAGATTCCAACGCATTTAGCTATATTTCTAGTTGTAAATCTTGCATCAGTAGCAATCAAAACCATTAATTTTTCGACCATTTTTTGGCGAAGTTGCAGTTTTCAGACGCCGTGCATGAGGTGCATCTGTTACTGAATCCACACCACTTTCTAATTTCTTACACCACAGTGTGACAGATGAAAAAAGAAAGTTAATGACCCATAGACACGACATATTTAATCAAATATGTTTTTGCCTGCATATCAAGAATATAGAGGTTCTTGATATAGGACCGTATTTCGTCAGTTAAAGGAGACCTTTTCCAACCATTTTAGCTTTTGTATACACGAGGAGATAGCATTAATATAGCTATTGTCAAATATAGACTTAACTGATTTGCACATGTATTGTATCAATTGAAAGCTTACACAACCATCGATACATGAACATAGTCGTGCAAAACGTGGTTAAAAGTGATGTATTGGCCTAGTTGCATTTATATTTGAACACCTTTCGTATCAAGCCTAATTCAGTGATTTGTTAACTTCAAGGAGAAAATGGTTTTCATTCGCAGAGTCCTGTAGAAATCCAAAAGCAATATTCTGAAAAAAGTCATCAATAGTGAAGACGTAAATCAACTCATAGCCGATCTCAAGGTTGCTTGATCAAACGTTCAAGACGAAAAGGTTGATTATGTAAATAAAACACAATATAAAAAGAAACATTATTCTTTTTAGGATTGTTAGATATTGGACATAAAAAAGGCTATGGAAGAAATACAAAGACTTGTTGAAGATAATGGTTTGACCAGTACAATCAGCGCTTATTCGAGAGGTTCCAAAAACAAAGGACATGCATAAAATCCAAAACCGTACACAACCCTTCTGTGTTTTGACACGTAGCTAAATCTTTTCACAAACACACATTAAATTCAAACGCATCTCGCTGCGTACATCTCACTGAGCGTACCGATAATCTTTTAGGATTAATATATGCTGTGCAATGACTGTATAATCAGTATGTGTTTGACAGGTTAATAAAATTAAACAATGCTTAAACAACATACTGCAGATTAAAAAAAAATGTTGATAAGTTTCTAGATATACACCAAACAAGATACTGATTTGTTTTTGACATTTATTTTATAGGAAAAGCTTTTTCCTAGCTCACCTACTAATAAGTTTTCTATAAAGATAAAACAAGATGTATCTAAATGCAAGTCTCGCTTTAAATTAATGAGAACATTCATGCTGTAACAAAACTTACTCTTAAATTAAATGATATATTGAATAGATGTTCGGTGATAAATTGGAACAATTAATTTGCTCTCCCAATAAACTAAGAATACGTGATCAGGAAATCTTGCTATGAAAGAAAAGAGCTTACTGAAAATCATCAGGAAATGATGAGTACAAATTATATAAAAAGACTATATAAAAATATATATTACAAGTTAATTGTAAAAACTCGAATGAAGAACTTCATACGCCGTATTAATGTAACACGGAATTAAAAACCCCAATATATATAAGCAAAGTTTGTTCAGGAAAAAAAGTCAGATTTTCATTCACATACTTTATGCCGAATTGTTCCCTCTAATAAAGACTTTCTGTTTTGCTTGTCGCTGAAACACATAAGTCAGACGGTCCTAATTTTTGAACTCACAACTCAAGGGTTGTTTCAGGTTGCAAACATTTCAAGCTATGTTTTTTGTGTATATATGAACAAGCAAATTCGTTGAATTTATATCCCCCGCCGAGTACTGGTTATTATTAACACAACAACTGAAGACATAAGGCTTTATTTATATATTAATCATGGCATAAATAGTAATATTCGTTGAACTTGATAAATATTAAGGGCAATAACAGAGCCATAACTTTGTGTTAAATAGTAAAATCTGGAAATGCCAATGAGATGTATGCATACTACATAACTAATCAAGGGCCATAAATCTGAGTTATAAGTATCTGACTGAAACAAGGCGACTATATGCACATCTCCTCTTAGTATCCCATAAAGTTTCATTGCATTCCGCTCAGTAGTAGCAGAGAAGTAGCGAGGAAACAAATATTTTTCTAAATGGATACTGCATAACTAATCAAGGGCCATAACTCTGAGTTAAAGTGTCTGACCGGAACAAGCCGACGATATGCGCATCTCCTCTTGGTATTGAAGGTTCCCATAAAGTTTCGTTGAATTCCAGCCAGTAGTTGCAGAGAAGTAGTGCGGAAACGATCTTTACTCTATATGCATACTACATAACTAATCAAGGGCCATAACTCTTAGTTAAAGGGTCTGACCGGAACAAGCCGACGATATGCGCATCTCCTCTTGATATTGATGGTTCACATAAAGGTTCGTTGAATTCCAGCCAGTTGTTGTAGAGAACTACTCCGGAAACGATTTTTACTCCATATGCATATTGCATAACTAATCAAGGGCCATAACTCTGAGTTAAAGTGTCTGACCCGAACAAGCCGACGATATGCGCATCTCCTCTTGGTATGAATGATTCCCATAAAGTTTCGTTGAATTCCAGCCAGTAGTTGCAGAGAAGTAGCGCGGAAACGATTTTTACTCTATATGCATACTACATAACTAATCAAGGGTCATTACTCTGAGTTAAAGTGTCTGACCGGAACAAGCCGACGATATGCGCATCTCCTCTTGATATTGATGATTCCCATAAAGTTTCGTTGAATTCCAGCCAGTAGTTGCAGAGAACTACTCTGGAAACGAAATTCGGACGGACGGACGGATGGACGGAAGTTCTAACAGTTATCTATGTCTCTGCTTACATATACCCTTTGTTAAGTATTTTTTCATTACACATTTAAGTAAGTGGGAGTTATGGGGGTATGGGTTAAATCATACCGAGAAGAAAAGTCACATGACGATATTTCAAGTTTGAAAATGGAGAAATACCGCAAGTGCCCATCCGTGCATTCGTCAATGGCCCACGCTGGCAACCAAATAGTGTCTGTGGTATTGATATTCCATATATGATGACTTTAAAAGTGCTACAAACATTATAACACGTTTTAAGTCTTTTGTTCTTAAATTTGTGAGCGCATAAAACTAAACATTTAATACCGACCCCAGATAAGCGTTCAAATTTCATTTTGCTATTAAGGGAGGTAATTAATAAGTGCAAAAACAGAAGTATAATCCTAATGTTTTCATTCCCCTTGAAAGATAATATAAACTGATACAACTCAATCAGAGCTTTGGGTTAATGTAGTTCTTATATGGCTTCTTTGATATTGTTTAATCATTATTCGTATATGATTCTTGATTCTTTAATGTTTCTTTTTTATATATTCTCCAAATATTCAAGTTGAATGTCCTCTGTCCCGCTATTTTCTATTTTATTTACTTTTGCAAATTGTTAATCGTGCACGTACATCCTATTTATGACATTAAAGTGCAAAATAGGAAGAGAAAAAATCACCACCGTATTAACTTATCTTATATTTATGGCGTTTGTTGATTAAAAACAATCATTGAATTTCGAATATTAGAATATATGACAAGTTAATAGAGCTTTATTCTAAAGAATAATTGTGTATGGTAATGAATGACAAGTTTTAAATCAGTGGTACCCTTTTCGGAGAAATTGGCCATTTTCAACTAAAATTAAAGATTAGTTCTAGCCCATTTAGAAATAAAACAATGGACAAGAAACAAAGTTTAAAACCCCTGACAAATTTTAAAAGCATTTCTTTTCATGAATGTAATATTTCTTAACCTTGCAGGTTTTTTTCCAAATGCCCAACGATAGATGCAAAATTTGGAGATTTAGCTCAATTTCACACAAATATTCTGAAGAAAAATTAATCCTGTCAGAATATTCAAATAATTGCTCTATGCTGATTTTATACCAATTTTCAAAGCGCCTTGACAAAATTACAGGCAAGTTTTAAAAAACATGTATAAACCGTGGTAATATTATGCCCGTGTGATTATTACGCGACCCCGGGTCTAAAACATGTATACTAAGTTTATACTCAAATTTGACGTTTCATTGTTTGCTTATAAAAATCTATATATCGTTTAATTGAGATAAAATTAATTAATATCCAAGATATTAGGATAAATCTTTACGAGCGTGTCAGCTATGTCTATATATAAATAAGATACAAAGTGTCGGGTTTTTCGTACAAAACGACATTGGCTAAATCGTATCCGTCATGTCACAGTATACAACGAATACTACTAGTGCGACGAACAGACATTTTCTCGCCGTAATGCTTCCCTTTTAATTTTAAAAACTGCGCAGATCTAAACAGACATTCGTCTAACTAGCAATTATTTCGGTGTGCACAGATGACATTCCTTCACTGCGTAAAAATTACGCTTGTATAACAATTGTGAAAACATGAAAACATCAATAGAGACCAACTTAAAAGACTGGTTAAATATTTATTTTACAGATATTATATATAAATACACAAGTATATTACGTATGAGTATACAAGTAAGAAAGAAAAACGTAACATTAAAAAGCAATTATAATAGAATGAGGTTTAAATAACTATTCAAGACTATACACGTACACCAGTATCAAGAAATCGCAAACAATCTTTTTACAGCGAAAGATAATATTTAGTTCACAAATACATTTTAGCAACAAGATATATGTAGAAGATTTGATACAATAAACGTAAAACTTCTGGTTTTGTTCTGTTATATATACATTAAAGTGTTTATTTTACTCACATGGTAGTCGATACTAGTCTTAAGCATATTACACTAGTCTAATTTGAAACCAAAACAAATGTAGGTCTCGATATAAATCTTAACTATTTAAACGTCAACTTTTACATAACGGTATGTTTGAACACTGAATTCAACACATATGGTAAGCCTTTGATAAAGCGTTTGTCAAGATAAGTTTAGTATTACACACAATCAATGTTAGATAATCTGCTTGAGTTTTGAATATCCAAACTTGTCATTAAATATGAAGACAATTTAAGAATTTCTTATTATTCATTGTTGGCTTTTGTCCGTTTTGCTTCATATTGAAGCCTTCTATTTAAAGAGATGTGTTTATATGGAGGGGCAAGTGCTCGTTCATATCTTTGACAATCAGCAATCATTTCATCTTCAATATCATCAGGTTGCTCCTTTAAAGTTTCGTCAGCTGATTGCGACCCTTCTCGTGTTTTTATTGGTTTTTCGTCTTCTTGGGACATCTTTTTCATTGGAGATCTTTCATATTCAGATTCGTCAACTGCGTAATGTTTGGTATTGTCATCCAAAAGTCCTTCAGAATTTTTACCATGTAAACTTTTCGGATTTTGGTCCGTTATTTTGTCAGCCGATTGGGAAACTTCTTGTGATTTCAATATTTTCTCGCTTTTTTGAGACATCCTTTTTATTCGAGATGCTTCATATTGAAGTCTTTTAGTTCGATAAATGGGCTTTGTTGGTGGAGCTTTTGCTCGTTCAAGTCTTTGACAAAATAAGAATGGGTCGTCTGTTAAATCAGGTTCTGGTTCTTTTTTGTCCCCGTTTCCTTTACTTGGGTTTGTGGTAGGTGCTTTTTCATTTTCTGTATCAGGTGATTCCTTTTCAGAAAGATCGGATTCATCTAATGTTAGGTTATTTTGTTCGGTATCGCTTGGCAAATCTTGATTTTCATCCTCAGATTTACTTTTGTCATCGATATCCCCAGATCCATTCTTGTTATCTCCATCCACATATTTTCTATCTTTATCTTTATCCCCAAATTTATTCTTATCATCTCCATCCACAGATTTGTTTTCTTTATCCCCAGATGTATTCTTGTTATCTTTATCCACAGATTTGTTATTGTTATCTTTATCCCCAGATTTATTCTTGTTATCTTCATCCACAGATGTGTTATCGTTTTCTTTATCCCCAGAATTATCCTTATTTACTTGCTCTGATTCTGAGTTTGGTTTTGGGGTTGACACTTTTCCTGGTCTTGTTTCAGATGTGTCATTGTTTGATGAAAGTGTCTCAATATCTGTTTCTGTATTTTTCTGATTAGATTGCTGTTTGGACAATGAAGATGTTTCTGAAAAATTTAAATAGACGTGCTTCTTTTGAAATTGAGGACAGCAATTAAACAAACTACATTTTGTCGTTGAATCACTCATAGCTGGTGGGTCAGGTGTTTTTGATTGAGTGAATTTATCGTCATTTTTGCTTGAACTGGGTTGAATATTTAAGTTCTGTGAGGTTTCGATGCTAGATGGTCCTGGTGTTTTAGCTGAAGAATATACGCTATCAGATTGATTTGATGTAGGTGTAACTTTATTTGGAATTGATTGGCATAATATAGCATGAAAACAGTTGAAGCTAGATTTGTGTTCACTATGATATGTAATTGTTCTTTTTGAGTTTTCAACTTCAGGAACATTTTCATCTTCTTCTTCCTTGGCCATTTCGTCTTGCTTAGTGTCATTCTGTAATGCTGTTCTGTCTGTTGATGTCACATTGTCTAAATTAGATTCATATGACGACATGTCATCTTTTATTGGAAATGCTCCACAGCATAAAAGCGTCATCCCTTTACATGCCGATTTATCTTGTTTTGGAGATTCTTCAATGTGATCTTCAATCCTTGTAGGTGCAGTTTGATTTTCCGAAGATAGACTTTCCTGAGAAAAGCATTGCATGTTCTGAAGCATTGATCCTCTATATTTAGATTCATTAAGACCCAACTCTGAGGTAGAACTCTCTATTTTGTCCTGTAAAGAAGATTGTCGAACTGTAGAATTGCTATCTGATGATGACATTTCAGAACTCGACTTTGGTATCAAACACTGTATGTTTCGAAACTTAAAACAATTTGAAAAGGTTAATGGTTTACTGACAGATCTTTTTGGTTCAGATTCTATGTTAGATTCATAACCTATGGCAGTTTCATGATCAATAGATCCTTGCAGTGAAGTATTGATTTCGGGACTCGATTGTTGCTTAGTTGGGAATTTAAAACATTTCGAAAGGGTAAAACCTTTGCATTTAGATTTGCTTTGTTTATATTCGTCATTGACAGGATCAGGAACGTTTTGATTATTATGTTCAGTTTCGATATCAGATTCTATTGACTGACTCAGAACCGATCTAGGCTTTTTCGACGGCAGGCATGCGGGTATTTGGAAATTAAGACAACACGATAGGGGAAATATTCTCTTCTGACGTTTCGTTTCAGTTCCGCTTACAGATTTTAATTCTTTTCTTGTTTCATTAACTTTAGTGTCATCTTCAAATTTCTGTCGTTTCTTAGGTGTGCATGAGAAATCTAAACATTTAGGGAAACTGGGAGGAGTACACCCTTTGTTTTCCTGTTCAGTTGAATCTCTCGCCTCTTCATCTACATTAGAATTAGATCTTTTTCTAACTACACATGGAATTGAGAAACATTTTGGGGTGCATGACAGTTCTTTTCTTGGCCTATGTTGCTTTGGTTTATTTTGAGACTTTGGTTGCTCCTTTGATGTACATGGGAACTTTAAACATTTAGGAAATCCAGGAGAACGTCCTTCATTTTCAGTCGAATTTCTAACCTCTTCATCGTGTTCAGAATATGATTCTTTTCTCGCCAGACATGGCATTGAGATACATTTTGATGAACATAACGGCTCTTTTCTTGATGTTTGTTGACTAGCACCACTTTGAGATTTTAGTCGTTTCTTTGAGGAGCATGGCAGCTTAAAACAGTTTCGAAAACTAGGAAGAGAACATCCCTTGCACACAATATCTGTTTGGGCCTTTTCATTCTTTTCAGATTCAGAACGTTTCTTGGATAGGCATGCTATTGATGAACATTTTGGAATACATGTAGGTGAAAATGCCTTACAACAATTGAAATCACATTTTGTTTGCTTTGTGTCCTTATTTTCGTTCTGTTGTTTCTTTGGCAGGCAACAGATTGATAAACAAGAAAGTGAAAATCCCTTGCAACAAGCACAAGGTAAAGCACATGACTGCTCTTCAGTTCGATCGTTTGGTCGCTTCTTCAAGCAGCACGGCAGTGTCAAACATCGAGGGCAATTAAAATCGGTACAGCCATCACAACAATCAGTGCATTCGGCTGGTTTTTCGTCTTCTTTTTCTGTTTTTGTCTGATATTTTATACAACACATATATGTGCAGCATTTGCTTCCCGTTTTTGCTGGTGCTGGTTTTCGTTTAGTAATTGTCCCGTCTGTCAATATATTTACAAAACATGAATGCCTGAGAAATGTTCTCTTTGATATAAAATCAAACGCTAATACAACTCCTGTTATAGATCCACTTATCAGCAAAAATCCTCCACCTAATCTAAAGTTCAGTTTCCAGCCTCCGTCATTGTCAGCTTTATCGATACCGTCTGAAGTATAGGCATTATAATATGTTACAAATGTATATAAAAAAAACTCCCTATCCTATTTTAATCGTATAAGTTAGACTTATAAAAGCAATCTTTATCATATTATATCAAAGCAAGACTCAAGATGAGGAAATCAAGCTTTAAAATCAATTAAACTTGAGAAAACATTATCAGTGATATAAGAAATACATAAATAATATCTTTCCAGGTGAAACCTGAATGTATCAAGCAGCATATGACAGCTTTTTTTTACTTTTCAGCAAGTATTGAATTTCATCTGCTTCAGTAAGAGAACAGACCAAACCTTTGTTTACTTGAAATGTTTTACTTATATATTATAGCAGTAATGTGCTTGTACCTATTCGTTTGACAATAATGTTTTTTATTACACTACTTACTTTGAAAAGCTGATGCAGATAAACCACCTAGGCCTACACTCATTTGGAGAAATCCTTGTGTTAATCTAATGTTAAAGCGTCCAAAGGCTGACGGCATTGATTCATCTCGGAAGTTTTCTGTCAGAACTTACAAAATGTAAGAAATGGTATTTAAAAAAAAAGATTTCTCTTAGTTGATACCATTTTTAAGTATTGTTTTAAATATACTTTAATTTTAATTCTTGAAGTAACAATAGAACATATAGTTTTGTTTTGAACTACATTTCTTTTATAATAGATCGGAAGTATTTAACGATAATTATGTTGCATTAAATATAATAAGTCTAATGTGTTTTAAAACGTCGACGCATACCTTCGAAAATTGTAAGGACTAGTATGTAGATTATGTAATAAACAAAGTTTTCCTGTGTTACTAAAGACAGGATAGCCATTATATAACCAGACAATGTGATGATGCAGAACACGAAACCCATATTTCTCTTTCTGTTCCTATACCTGAAATGAAAAGACCAACCTGGATTATTTATATCGTTCGATAATCATTTTAAGTGTCATATATACTCCCATATAATTTATGTAATTAAGAAAGGAACTTATACGTACGTGCAAATAAAATATCAAAATATCACAATTGTGTGGACTGAGGTATTTTTAGATTATAAAAATATATCAATCATTATGATACAGCAATACCATGCAATTGTATATCGGGCATATCCGGTTGTTATATTAAAATATGGTATAATGCATTACCTTTCTACACATGGAAGTGATTTTAGTAGATATGTTAGGATAAGCCCAAGTAACGTGCCAACATTTGCTGATAATACTTCATAGAATGAATCTACAGGCGGCGCCAATTGTTCCTGCATTTGACTTGAAATTTCTGGCAAACTGAAAGTCGGAAGCGATGTTCCTGTTTTTAAATTATATAATGAATATAATTATAAATAATTGTATGTTAAAATAATAAGAAATACAATACATTAAAACTGTCATGTTAGACTGTTTTCCAATTCAAAATGCAATAACATATATTGATCGAGCAATTTTTTTTAACTTAAAATTACGTAAACATGTTATAGAATATTACAATCACCAAAGTCATTGACTGCTAAGAATTATTCTTGTCATGTTATTCAAGTTTTTTAGATACATACCGAAACTAAAGAAGAAAAACACAACAATCGTGATCCAAAAGGTTTTATCTTTGAGTACTGGAATGCGAAATGTATTTTTCAGAAATTCCTTAATGATGCCACTACACCCTTTTTCATCCTCATCATCTCCCTTGTTTTCATCTGTATCATCATTCCTGTCATTTTCTTTTTTCATTCTGTCCGTTATAACTATATCCTTATAAACGATATCAAAAGTATATATTATTACATGTATGTCAAATGTCATTATTAAAGATCATATACGTTGAAATCAAGGATGTTACATGCAAATGACTGAAATTATATGCACGTATAGACATCCAAGTATTTGTTACATTTATACAATGTTTTGTACATTATATACAAGCTTTAAGAATAATATATATATTGTTTTTATTGACAATTTAGCAAAGACTTTATCCAAATAAACCTTCTTATTACCTCCCTTTATTTACACGAACATTTTAATTCGGCTGTATGCTATGCTTTTTATAATTAACTGATGGTCTGATAATCATAATGTTTGACATGTAAGACTATATACTGTATGAAGTACAGGGACTTTAAACATGCTTACCAAATACATTTATGGATCTCAATAGGGCTTAAAATGGTAAATACACTATAATATCACATTGTTATGTTATAACAGCATAGTGTATTTGGTTTCTGCTTTTCAATAATGTCTAAATCATTAAATTCTTTTATTCATGGTGCAAGAATGACATATATTTTATCATTAAAGACTGCAGTAACCTCTCTTAATAAATATAGATACTGTTATGAATTTTATCCGTTTTAGAAATGAGCCACGTCATGACAAAACCAACATAATGGGTTTGCGACCAGCATGGATCCAGACCAGCCTGCGCATCCGCGCAGTCTGATCAGGATCCATGCTGTTCGCTTACAAACCCTATTACAAGTAGAGAAACTGATAGCGAACGGCATGGATCCTGATCAGACTGCGCGGATGCGCAGGCTGGTCTGGATCCATGCTGGTCGCAAACACACTATGTTGGTTTTGTCATGACGCGGCTCTAATATCTATTAAACTTACCTTTAGAATAAAAGCTATTGCCAAACATGGTACACATAAACCTGCATTTATCCTGAAAAATATAATCCGGTAAATAAAAAGTTAATATAGTTAAAATAAACACCCCAATAAAATACAAAAACAACAAAAGATAACAAAACACCAACACCAACAAAAACGCAACAACAATAATAATAATAATAATAATAATCATAATAATAACAACAACACTCACATGAATACACCCATCCCCGCACCTACGTAGCACACACACGAACACACGCGCGCAAACACACACACAACATCTTAATACAAGAGCTGTCGGTAGAACAGCGTGCTCGACGCTTATCTGTGCTTGTAAGTAAAACAACAGCCTATATAATGTAGAATTTTCCAAGTTAAAAAGGGTCATGGATCTGTCAAAATCAATTTTAATTTAGTTATTGACTTTGGACAGTAACATTTTATATCACAAACAAGTGTGTAAAGTTTCAACCCATTCGTAGTTTTGGAGACACCATCTTGCAAGCAAAAACTTAGCTTAAAAGTGTGACGCCGACACTGAAGGCGACAGAAGTATAATCGCTTCGAATAGTCCAGCTAAAAATAACACCACCACCAACAACAACAAACATCAATGAAACATGCAGTAGCCTGTTGAAATAGATTTGTATTCTGTAGAATAATTCTAAAAAAAATCAAGAATTATAAAATAACACAATAAATAATGTAAACTATTATTAAACAAGAGGGCCAAGATGGCCCTAGATCGCTCAACTAACCCAACGAACTCATCCGAACAACTAGCTAGACAAGCATTCTGACTAAGTATCATGACAGGTGAGTCTAAATGTGACCACTAGAGTGTTTACAAGAATTATCCATATTTGAGCAGTTTGACCTAGTATTTAAACCCAGGTGACCCATATTCGACCTAGAAATCATCTAAACAGTAGCCACTTAAGTGTTAACAATGTTTTTCCATATTTGGGCGTTGTAACGTAGTTTTTGACCTCAAGTGACCCATATTTTTCTATTTTTAGCGGTTGTGACATAGTTTTTCATCAGCGATGACCCATGTTGAACTCATCAGAGCAATTACCTTGACAAGCATCCTGAGTTTTATGATAAATGAGTAAAAAATGTGACCACTAGAGTGTTTACAAGGCTTTTCCATATTTGGGCGGTGTGACCTAGTTTTTGACAGCAAATAATCCATATTCAAACTTGACCTCCATATCATCAAAACAAACTTTCAGACCAATTTCCAGGATATTTGGATCAAAACAGAAGCCACTAGAGTGTTATCAAGATTTTCTATTTTTAGCTTCTGTGACCTAGTTTTCATCCGCGATGACCCATGCTCGAACTCATCCGAGCAATTACCTAGACAAGCATGCTTAAGTTTGATGATAATTGAGTCAAAAATGGTTCCACTAGAGTATTAACAAGGTTTTTTTTCTATTTTTAGCTCCTGTGACCTAGTTTTTTTATCCGAGATGAACCATGTTCGAACTAATCCGAACAATTATCAAGACAAGCATCCTGACTAAGATTGATGATGATTGTGTCAAAATTGTGAGCACTAGAGTGTTAACAAGGTTTAACTATTTTTAGCTCCTGTGACCTAGTTTTTCATCCGGGATGTCCCATGTTTAAATTCATTCGAGCAATTACCTGGACAAACATCGTGATCAAGTTTGATGATAATTGAGGCAAAAATGTGACTGCTAGAGTGTTAACGGACATGGATGGGCGACAGACATTCAACGATCCTAAAAACTCACCCTAAGCTAGCTCAGGTGAGCTTACAAAAAGAAAAAAAAACATACATAAAATTTACACGATATATATCTATTTATAGGAAAAATATTTATGCTGTCATCATATCTGTTATTTATGGCATCAACATACCTCAACAATGTTCTCCAGCTAAGATTATCTGCAAACATTATACCAATGGTCGCCGAAGCACCAATGACGGTACCTAACCTAGTAATAACTAGAGCTTTCATTCTGTCACGTTTGAAATATTCCAGTACTGGAATTATTGCTCCGAGTTTGAGGCAGCTCACACCTAAAGCTTCATTCAACAGATATCATGATGTTAATAGATTAGAATAGAAGGGTTATAATCATCAATCAATGACAGATGTTCAGTAAAATAGGATCACATTGATTGTCAAAATATTTTTTAAGATTATACTTATTTTTTGTTCTTTCTTATGAAAAGAATGAACAATAAGTGAATTGAAATTTAAGCCTTATTGCATTACATTGCCGACTTGATTTTTATCCCATTAAATTTGATAAAACAAGATATAAATAATTATATGTTCAAAAATAATTAAAGAGGAGATCTCAATGTAACTTACCAACTGGTCCACACAACCACACTTGCCAATACCAGCTAATAGTTCCCTCTAAAATGTACGATAATATGAACGTTTTACACATTTTAGCAAATCATTACTTTATAAATTGAGAAATTGAAATTTGATAAACGTGTGATTGAGAGAGTAGCAAACACAATGTCTTTACAGATATTCAATTACAAAATATGACATCAAATATGAAATAATATGTCCTGACTTTTTATAGCATTTAATTTAGCTTTTCGATGGAGAAAATAGCAAAGTCTACGCTTGACCAGTGTAAAGCAGAGAACGCTAAATCTTTTAATAGTGGTTTCTTTTTTTATGCGGTTGGGAACCGTGATTTAATCATTGTTTGGATATTCCTTTATCTGAATTTGTAGAAAGTAATTGGAAATACTTTACTCACCAGATCCGTTATTTAAGAAAGATATATTTGCAAATGCTACACATATCAAAAGCGATCCGACGGCTACTGTGGTCCTATAACTTGATTTTGACATTAGATACAGGGCTAATGGTGCTACAAAATAAGACAACAAAATAAAAAACAAACATTTAAAATAATTGTTTTGAGAAAAGATCCTTATTGCTAGAGACCTAATAATATGAAAGTTAATCAAACCTACCTTCATTTTTTAGATTGTTTTCTTATGTTACACTCACTAAATTATTACCCGTTTCAGCTATTCTTTCCGGTTCCTTTAAGCTGCACTAGATATTACACAAATATTTACCACAAAATACATTGTTAAAGATGTGGAATATCAGTTCCAATGTTCCCAGAACTTAATGCATGTAATTAGAAAATGAAATAAATGATGAAGAAAGTAACAAAAACAAAGCTGTTTTACCATAGAGATTGGTCAAACTTTTGTAGATGTTGTTTGCACTGTTGGCTTCGGTTGTGTCTACGTCTAATGTCTCTAGCAAATCGGTGTCAGTGATTGAGATGTCAACGATGGATAGATGCATTTGTACAATGAGATTAATTACGAAACATACGATGACATTCAGTTTAGCACTTTTACTTTCTTTCACAATACGATCTTCAAGCCCATCATTTTTATATTCAGCCTCGTTACCGTTTTCAGGGTCTTCATCATTATATTGAACAGGCCAATTTTCAGGAATCAAACACGCCATCACTGCTCTTTATCTTTTCCCAACAAATGCTACATATACGTGAATAAGATATCTTATTAAGTTTCATCTACATCTTTACAAATATACAAGTCATTTTGCATATCTTGATATTAATATGTAGTGTTGTAAATGATATAAGTTTAATGTTTCGAGCACGTGCACTGTATAACCTTTATCATCATTAAGTTGAAAATCTTTAATTGAATTCATAAATATCGAATTCTACGACCGTATTGAATGGAACTTTTCCAACAATGTGACCTTTAAAAATATATTATCATTGAATTCAGTCTTATTGTCAATTAAAGATCCGATGGTTACTGTGGTTTTGCAACTTTATTTTGTCATCAGATACAGGGCTACTGGTGCTACAAAAAAATAAAATAAAAATGTTCTCAAATAAAACTTTAGAAAACAATACAAAAAATCTTACTTGCTAAAGGCCTAACACATACGAAATTCGAAAGTAAGTGTGATCCATCGGGACATTTATCACAACAAACAACATGAAAATTTTAGAGTCTGTACGTAACGGATAATGAAAAATGCGTCATCCCTTACGACCAATATCACGGGTTTGACACTTTTAACTTGAAATAACCATACTTGTTAACATTAGGTATTCTTTTACCAGTTATTGCCCTTACATATTGAGACGTTCAAAAAATATGTGTGTGTATCATCATCAAATATTTTTAATTTTAAGAAAGAAATATAAAAACACTTGTGATTTAAAAATGATGTAAATTATAATGCATTGTTTAGCACAATACTAGAGTCTCGTCCAACAAAGAATTATTGAAAATAAACTGTAAAAAAAAACGTTAATCTCTATTGATCAGCAACAAGCCGTTTTATGTAGTAGGTTGTGTTCTGTGAATGTTGCCTCACTTTGTTGCTCTATGTTCTCATTTGTTTATATTTTCCAGTATGAATACGAGGAAAATTTACACAGTATATAAAATCATCACAATATATTTATCATTCCTGCCTCAAATCAATTAAACATAACTGCACATCATTTACTACATGCACTCAAAGTTAATTAAATTGTTATTACATGTAATTCGCTGTATGCACTATTCAAATGAATATTTGTATTTGATTAAAAAAAACAAGCAATTATCATAGTATTGCAAGCAATCCATAAGTCCCCTACCGGTTAGAACCCCAGCAACATTCTGATGGGCCATTGGCCATTCAATTTTACCAGTGGATGAATGACATGAATGAACTTAAATCTTTTGAGTTCTAAGTTTGTCTATATCGCAGTAATGTGTTAAGTTTCCCTGCCTAGTAAGGAAATTATGTTTATACAACCTTGTCATATTATTATAATGTGGGATTTTAAAGTAAATCCTATAAGGAATGAAGAAGTTGGAGTGAAAAATACCAATTTCTCGAAAAAAAAACCTAAGTTCAAAGGGGAGATAATTCTGGAAATAGTCTTGCTAGAGTATTTAACCACCTCAAAAATGTTGAGTGATAATAAGAAACATATATATGAAGTTTGAAGTAGATACATTAGGAGATAAAGAAGTTATTTAAAAAAGACAACATTTTTTTTCATAAACATGTTCAAGGGAGGTAATGCTGATAATTTTTGTGCTAGAGTTGTCAACCTTGTCACATATGATGTGGTTGATGGCCAGAAACTTATATTTAAAGTTTGAAGTAAACACCTTAAGAAATAAAGAACTTTTAGTGAAAAAGCTGAACATTTTTAATCAGAAATCTTGAAATTCAGGCTATTTGTTGCCATAGCAACCAGAATTTTCAACATAGGAAGAAATGAAAAAAATGTGCATAATCTCCAGACTGCCATCTCCCCATATTTCAAGTTTCATAAAAATATTTTCAGTACTTTTTGAGTTATCACTGGATCCAGTTTATGTGTTAAATTTGCCATATTTTCAGACTATTTGTTGCCATAGCAACCAGAATTTTCAACATAGAAAGAAAAAAAAAGACATGCAAAATGTCCTTTCTGCCATCTATCAATATATCAAGTTTCATAAAAAAAAATTCAGTACTTTTTGCGTTATCGCGGGATCCAGTTTTGTGGACGGACGGACTGACAGACAGACGGACAGACAGACGGACAGACAGACAGACGGACGGAGGGTAAACCTAAAGTCCCCTCCGGTTAAACCGGTAGGGGACTAAAAATCTCCATTTTAGTAAAATACATACCTATAACTGAGTGACGTAAGTGTTTTGAAATAATATTCCCAGACTATACGTACATCATTTATCATCAGAAAAACAGTCTTTTATCTGAATAGAGAAAAACAATTTGACATAAAAGAATGAAACAAAGGTGATAATTAGGAACATTTATTTATAACAAATGTATAGTTCTTGCTATTTTTTTTACTAAATTCAATATCAGAAAAAGATAATGTGATGATAGTGTAAACTTTGTAATAAATACTTTTTAAGATAAAGTTATAATAGTCGTTAAGATTTCGATTTCATACCAGTTAACACTCTTAGGTTTGTAAAGAAATCGCCCACTATTTTCTAATTTCTTTATTCATAAAAAATGTTTTAAATGCCTTAAGATTTTTTCGACATTGAAACGAAAATATTAAAGACATAATAACAAAAGTTAATGATTAAGCCTGTGGTCGATGGTTTGTTTGTTTTGCATTGCATTGCAAGAGCGCGTTCTTTTATGAGCGGTGATATCTAATTTTTTGATCTCAATACATAGCCTACTTTTTTTCAAGACTGTAATTGTAAACTTGCGAAAAAAGAATTGAATTAACCAGGAAGAAAATTGACGAAAACATTTCTGAATATTTTACCTCTGTTTCTTGTTAAAACGCATATTTTTGTATGCTTTTAAAGGCCCATTATGCTTTAATTTTCATTTCTCAAAACATTTTTATTTTTGATGTATTTTAATGGTATAAAACAAATTACCCACTGGCTGATTTCCTGATCATTCTTTTTCATCTGTTGCTTTTCGTAAATTGGCTAATTCAATAACAGTTATTTGACAATAATTGCTACTTTCTTCAAATAACAATCATATAACATTTTAAAACCATTTATAAACATTATAACATTCAAGTTTCCTCATTCTAAAAAAGAAAACATTTATTTGTTTCTGCGCAATAATATGCCTTTTAATGACATATAATTTTTGTTTTGTTTCATAATTTTGATTAGAATTATCATAAACAATAATTTATTATACTGCAGTTAATTCTGAGATCACTAACATCATGGAAAAATGTGTTTTCACATCCGTTTCTTTTATCTTAAAATACTTGATAAAAGTTTAGACTAGGTGTACATAAAGATTCGATCCAACAATGATTTCTAATGGAACCTTACGTGACGCAAACCCTGAAGATATAATGGTAATATCTAAGACTTACAAATGAGAACCCTCTGCAAGCGACCTGATGTCAAATACTTTTCAAACGTGAAAGTGTACATCGACTTTTTAAGCTAACGATAAACAGCACGTTTAAGATATTACATGTATAAATAATTGACAATGTTTCAAAAGTCATTTTAAACTTAATATTATTAAACTCTATCATATTCTTTACACAAATGCAACATATTACAACAGTTTCCCATCTTGTTTAGAATATATTGATGATCTAACTAAAATATGTTAAACAAGATCAACAAGGAAAAGCGGCGGTCAATGAACGGTGTGTAGGAAGCTATAAGCTTCCGACGCCTTAACCTCTCGGCGCATGGCCAATATTTTAGGGAGCGAAAATACTAGGTAAAAAAAAAATATAGAACAATTTTATTTCTTCTTACGTTAAAGCTACATTAAATAAATTTCATAAAAACAGAAATAGCGACATTTCATTAACAAATTGGGTTTCATAACGACCCAAGATCTTACTTTGGTGTCCAGACAACCAAAATGAGTTATTTAAACAAGCATAAAAAGGGTGCAACCTCATTGTGCCGAAATTGAAAGTAGAATTTCAGTTTGCATGAGAAACTCCGCCTTCGGATCAACTGTATATCAGTATCAAATCAACCAGCATGACTATAAGTAGCAGTCCTAATTTAACGTACTTTATCGCATAGTAAGGGGTGTTTTGTACAAATTTAATCTTTTTTGTGAGATTTCTTTTTTTCTGAACCCTAGGCCTAGTACACATTGAAGCTAAAACGGTTAAAGTGTATTTGCACAAAAAAATCTCATATTTGTTGTGTTTGTTGTGTTCCGGATAGCAGCTATAACGTAGCGCATACACGAGCTGCGGATATTCTTCATTTGCATGTTAAAATTCGACTACGAACTTTAGTGTTACCGCGGAGTTTTCCGTTTAAAATCCCAATTTATGAATGGTATTTGATGAGATTTACAACATTAATGTTAAAAAAAGGTTAATGAAACTGTAGAATGTCTGGTTTTTAGGCAGACGGAAAAATATTTTTACATATTTATTTAATGTAGCTTTAATACTTTTACATTTATTGTTTAAATATATTTTTTACTTGAATTATGTTTCTTTATAATTTCAAGTGATTATCAAACTGGCCGGATGAAATTCCTTCGGATGTGATGATTCCGTGAAAGAAAAATTGCACGTGTTTCATTCGTTAGAGAATTATGTCCGGTTCTCGGCCTTATATGAAAGCGCAAAACAGTGCCGAAACTCATTCTAGGAAAGCGTACTTGTTATCTTTATCAATTATGATATTTTAGGGAGTTTTTTAAACGTCGTCAAAATAGCGGAAAAGACATGTGACCAGGTCGTAATAATATACATAGATTTTGACGTAAGGTTTGCAAAGTAAAAATAGACATGGTGTATACAAGTGCGGATTAAGAATGGGACCACGCTTATAACCCCAAGTGTTTGTGATCTCAGATAATGTCGAGGGCCTTGATTTTAGATCGCCTAGCAAAAATATTTTACCAAGAGAGTTATATGTCTCAATATCAGACTCTAATTGACCAAACATATCAATGTCAAATGAACTTAGCGAAGGAGAGCAACATAGGTAGAACATAAATATTACGTACAAAATCTCTTCATCAAAATTGAATAGATACTTAAACATTTTAATCCACATTATACCAACTTGATTTTTATAAATAGTGTGGCACAGAAAAGAAACTACAGTATAATACACCAACATTCAACCAAAAATTATTAACTTCACAAAATCTAATCAGCATCAAAAACAACTTAACCCAAAGCATCCAATATCTACAGATCTCTTCAAAACCAAAGCATCAACTATGAAAATATTGACAAGAAAAACCACTCAATACAATTCAACCAATATCAACCAAATATATCTGATCAAACAAATATATAACTCGACAACCAGATATTATTCAACAAACGAAACAACTTTAAGTTAGTACAACCGATGAACCCAGATTAATAAAGATCAAAACAATTAAGCTCAGCAAACTTCAACAAATAAACAAAACTCTTTTTAAAACAACAGAAATTATCTCCTCTGAAAATAAACGCTACATTCTGCAAGCGTGTCTTCCCTAAACTTATGTAAATATCACAAAATATTTGCAAGCTTTACGATTTGACATTTATATGCAGATACTTTATACAAAGTGCGCAACTGATCATTGAAATATGATATGTCTACTACACCTCAGTGTATCACTGTAGAAAAATACAAACTTGTTGTTCATAAAAGAAAATTAACCAGGAAATAAAACTGTATGTTAATTCTGATTCATGGGATACTTTCCAAGAAGATAGCACATTGCAAGAAGACAAAGAAGCGTAAACTACGGAAGCCCTGGAAGGAAATTATATTTATTAATTATTATTTATTACTTAACATGTTTAGCATAATTATCAATTATAATATATAACTTATTATTTAAAACTTATTATTTATCACTTATTATTTATCACTAAGTCTTATTACTTATCACTTAATACTTATTTCAGTTGAATATATCATTTAAAATATGTGTATGTTGTAGTCTGCAGATTAATTAATGAATGCAATAAATATGTTCAAACTAAATACTTCTTAAGTTATTATGTAACTAAGATATATTCGACTGAAATAAGAAGTAAATTGATAAATAGTAAGTTATAAATAATAAGTAATAGATAATAATTGATAATTATGTTAAACATATTAAGTAATAAATAATAAGTAATAAATAATAATCTTGCTTCCAGGGCTTCCGTATTATATGACCTTCTATAAACGATGTTCTCCTTCATCTTTTCCAGTAATTGTCTTGATGCAAACAGTTTTTTCTTGCCAACAATGTCATTGTTCAATACTAATTATAAGTAATATTCTGTAAATAATAAGTTATAAGTTATAAAAAATAGGTAATAAATAATAATTTTTAAATAATAAATGTCCTTGTAAAACATTTAAATATTTTTGTGATTCCTCCTACAAAAATATCGTCAATTCCCCATCTTAAAAATCTAGACAATCAGGAAATAATATTTCTTTTAAAACAAACTTAATATATTGAGCGTTCATATACAAATAAACCTGACTTAGGTCTACCATCAACATGTACTATTGTTGATGATCTTTTATCTAAATGCATCTGAAACAGATGTTATTTTCAATATCTGAAAGTCGACAAAACACTGTTTACATCAAGACAATTAGCGGAAAAGATGAAGGAGAACATCGTTTATAGAAGGTTATATAATACGGATGCCCTGGAAGGAAAATTGTTATTTATTACTTATTATTTATTACTTAATATTTATCACGTGATATTTATTTTACTCGGATATTTCTTATTTACATAATAATTTAAAATGTATTTAGTTTAAACAAATTTATTACAAACATTATATAATCAGACTACAACATGCACAGGGGTGTTTCAATACTAAATATAATAAATAATCTGAAAATAATATTAAGTAATAAGTTATAAATAATAGGTAATTAGTAATAACTTTTAAATAATAAATGTCCCTCCAGGGCCTCCGTAGTTTTTGGAAGATAAGTATCATTTTTTTTTAATTAACGGCTATGATAAACTATAAGGCCATCCGTCCGGCTTTTATCTAGTGTTTGCTTATCAGTCAATATGATGCAAACACCATGTAAAATATTAACCCTGTGTATACATATGTGAATACTGCTTAAATGACTATGCTGTACATTAAACAACGTGCCTCTTTCGACCATTCATTCATTTAATTAAGTTTTGTTATTCTTATGTTCAAGAAAGTTTACTCTTAATTCGGATTGTACAATACGAAACATTTAGTACCATTGAACTACTTGGTAATTGTCCAATAATCCAGAACAAATACTGGATTTTATTACGACTAAATCATTTTCTGTTTAAAATATCAAAGAGCAAAGACAGGAATCCGCATCAATAGAAGTGTTTAGGATTTAGGATTGAAAGAAGCTAAACCGTTAGTGACATTTTATAAGACACATATTTTGTCACCAAAACAAAAGACATGGGCACCAGTAGTAAAGAATCTTAACAAGAAAACACTTTTTTTTCAACTGATGAAAGGAACTATTGATTGAGTTTGATGGCTGATAGGAGTTATGTCAAATTTTTTGCACAAAGGAGCGAAATAAAAAGTAAACATTTAGCGTACTTTCGCTCCACGGGGCACAAAGCGAAAACATAACAATACGACAAATCAATACTTAATTTAATAAACAAATGAACATTCAAATACAACGGATCAGAAAACCTAACTCTAACGTTTATAGTGACGGAAATTATCATTGCTTTACCAGTCAGCCTTATGATAAAAATACATCTATTTTGTTACTGAACTGCAGAAGAAAAACAATAAGCTCTTTCAAAAGAATTGGGTTGTTTTCTATTATCAAACATATACATTATATGTTATAAATGTACATGTATAAAGATAGAAGTAATAACTTACAAATCAAAAACAATCTTACCTTGAAGAACCCGCATTTGCTTACTAGTGTTACTTCTTTATCATTATCGAACAATTGCAAAATGTTAGCAAAATCATATTATGTTTCAACTTGTCAATGCATGAATGTTGAACGGCGCCTTTTCTTTATAAAAATGAATTAATAAGAATTTCGATTCGACCAGGAAGTAATGTTACAGTCTAGTGGGTCGGGGACTCTTAAGTATGCTGGATACCCTTTACTCTAAATTGTATATTGGTACCCGGGGTCTTTAATATATTGATACTTGATACAATCAGGTAAAAAAAGGGATGTGTAGATCTCCAACTCAAATGATAGTAACACCTTTGTAAACAGTTATAAAATTTAGTCAACAATTTAATGTTTCAAATTACAATAATTTTTAAAAAATCATGAATAATTTATATCAGCAAAAAGCTTTCATTATATCTCAAGACAGCTCACAAATCACCTTACAATAATTCAGTACCGCTACGCCTTTAAAATGATATTAAGTACTGGTGAACCCAGGATATTTGTGTTTAATTCGCGATGACAATATTTATAATCATTTCACAGAGTGCACTTCCAATTCAAAACAGAAACATTTCACTTCATAAGAGAAACCACATTATATCTTCTCCTAAACTATTAAATAACATATCGAGCCAGGATTGGTTAATTTTAAGTCAATGTACACCATTAATTTAATATTCTAAATAAATCTGGAAAAATATGGAGATTGTCTCTTGTAATGATTTGAACTGGTATGTTCCAAATACGCACCTACATATATGTAAAACACGACATTTAGTATTAAACATTAGCACAAGCATGGAAAGTCATTAATAGCTACGTGCATAGGAGAAAATATTGATTATTATGAACAAATAGAATTTAATTTACCGCACTATATTGGAATAGACTTTGAATAGACTATATCGATTTTTATAAATTTAAATAAGATAATATAATAGAATCAATAAATTTTACGAAGCTCCCTATAACATGTATGTTATTTGATATTAAAAGTGATTTAAGATCGTGTCCGTGTATTAAATTTGCGTTTTGGAGAAAATGCTCTCTTTGTCGCCTGCAACAAAATAAACCTACAATGTAACAAGTAATGCAATTTGACTGTCGCCACACAATGTACAAATTCTTTTATTATAAGGATAACTAATCATCGTATCTTCCAACTTCTACTCGAAGTTTATGATTTTCTGTTCTTAATTTGAATACAGGAATATAATCAAATTACTCTAAAATTTTAAAATATTCTTAATAATTATGATCGTATGATTTAACGTAATGTTTGAATGTTGAAGCTGCGCTTACTAAGACTGTTTGTTGTACATGACCGACCAGTTTTCCTAATCATGAGTTTAAATTGATCTCTAAGATAAGAGACATTCAGAATTGTGTTCGGGCAAATCAGGACCCAAACAAATCACGTGCATGTACATAAACTTAATCTTATACATAAACACTTTTTCTATATTTAGCTCCATGGTCATGTATTTGTAAAGTTGGAACGATATTTTTTTTCTTTCCCCTCAATGAAACGATTCAAAACTGAGATCATCCTAGTTTTAATTATAATAGATATTGTATATCGTCCAAGTTTGTGCATTAGTATGTATAAGGGGGCGATTTATGAGAATTGGGTATGTTACGTAGAAATTCATTATGAACTTTTTCTCATATATCTTTATTTTCAAATCGAAATATTTCCGACCCATATGTCAAAATAGGTAATACAGTGTGATCAAATTAGAATGATATACAGATTATGTGCATGGGAGCGTTAGCGACATAGACTGAAGGGTGTGAGAACAGTGTTGAGGGTTTTAGAACATAGACATGTCATGGCGGACGCATTAATTGTCAATCTAATAGCAGATGATGATAAATTCTTTAAAGTCTTACTCTCAGAGGGAAAAAATAAATATTCACTGACGCATTTACTGAACATGCAATGTTCAGCTCCTGACGAAAAAGATACAAACCACTTTTTGCTCTGCTGAGCCGGTCATTTTGTAAAGCAACCTATTCTGGCCTAGGACATTTATTTTTGATCTATATAGCATTGGTATAAACATTAACTGGATACATTTTAAGCATAAAAAATGTTTTTGAAATGTCGCAAGCCCTTCTAATGTAATTGTGTGTAAAGGGCTCCTTTAGTATATAGAGCTAGTGTATGCCGCCCCCTCATCCGCATGTATAAGGCTGAAATATGATAAAAATCTATGGTTTCCCGTTTTGCTGACAAAACGTTGAGCCTAGGAATGTTTTTTGATTTATTTCATTTTTTTTTCTTATTTTTCTTAAATTATTGAATATCTGAGATTTTCTTTTCATACCATATGAGATTATACCATTCAGGTAGGCGGAGCTTAATTCTCTATATTTGGAAACTGCCATATTGACAACTTAATAGTTTCACTTAATGATTTTACTTAATAGACATTGTGCACAATGTCAAAATAAACAGATAAATTGAGCAAAAATTTGAAAATCTCTCGACGATGATTAGATAAAAAAACAATGGAAGGGGCGGAGTGAACTGTAAGGAACGAACCATTGCTAGAGAATGTCACACCTAAGTAATGTTAAGAATTGGATTTCAATATTTTCTCCTTAATAAAATACAAAATTCCAAGTTTATCGAGCAACAAAAATTACTATTTTAAATTTGTTCAAGTTCACGTTTAGATGCCAATTATTACAGTAAAATTAAAATTGTTCAAGCAAATTTCAATATCGTCAGCGGTGTTCGTTTGCATGGAGAAGAACAAGAAGTTTAAGCAATAAAGTAAGATCGTCGTGATCCAACAGTTCCACTATTCTGTAAAAAAGTTTGGAGGTCATTTAAGTACATGGAAAATAGGACTGGAGATAAATTTTCACCCTGTCTTACCCCAATTTAGAAAATAAACGACGCCGAATACAGCTAAATTATGCGAAATAAATGATTTATTGTATTTGAATATATTGTTAAAAATTATGAAAAAATTACCATTTATGGAATTTTCGAGCAATTTATGCCAATGGTCCATCCTCCATACACTATCAAAAGCTTGAGAGAAATCTACAAAAGCAGAGAAAAGTTTCAGTGTTTTTTTTTCATTCAGTAAGAGAGTATAGTTTATTTTATGCTTTTCAGTGGATTACTGATTTATCCGTGAAAATTATATTTGATAATTTCACAGTGAAAATTATCAAAATATAATTTCACTTTTTTCAATGACGAAACTTCTTTTTTTCAGATTTTCCCCATGTAGTACCTCAATTTTATTTTTACTGACAATTCTGACAATGTCAGGCTATTTAAAGAAATAGCAAAGCTGAAATAGATAAATAACTTAAATGTCAAAAGTAGTAAAGAGAGAAAACTTACTTCTATTCCTTCAAATTCCAATCACAAAATTTCGTCTCTAAATGTTTTTTGTTTCGTTTTTACAGTCTGAAAAATACATTCCTTCCCCATGCAAAACTGCTCTTGATGACATTTGGGCATATTAAAGTATCCTACGAGCAATAACTGCCGTATGCTTTATGAAAAATTGAAAAGCATTGACAGCCATCACTCGTAAAATAAGTAAAAATACCCAGCGTTCCTTAACAAGCTTCCAAGTTTTCCAATTTCCTAGCTCCTTTTCTGAATGTTTTCACTTCTGTCAACAGTTATTTTTTGTCTGTTACAATCCTCAAATAAGTTTTCTTTCTTTTAAAAAGGTGTATGACTAACAAATCCAAAACATATCCTTCTGAATCTTACACAATTATTTTCCTCCCATGAAATACACAACTTTAAAAAATGGCTGCCGCTTACATTTTACAAAGCCAGGTCTAATATAAATTCGCAGTAAGTAACAGAAATATGGATGGATGGTTGGACTTTTTCTCCTACAAGATTTGTTTCTTTTTATTATTAAAACAAGCGATCATTCATATTTTTTGATAAAATGAATAAATATCACCGTCATTTAACCTTGATTGGCGGACTTTTTTTCAGCTCAAGACTTCTTGTTTTAAATGAGAAATTCCGTCTAAATGGGGCTCTCAATGGGGGAAACAGATTTTAATATTAACATTAAAATTATGGAAATTTCGTTTTAACTTGTTTTTAAGCATAAAATAAAAAGAAAATTTGTCTGTTTGTTGTGTAAGATGTAATTTTATTTCATCTCGTGAACTTTAAAAACAGTATTCTCACTCGTGGCTACGCCACTCGTGAGAATACTGTTTTTAAAGCCCACTCGATGAAATAAAATTTCATCTTACACACAAACAAACAAATATCCTCTATGTATAAGTGATCAGCGCAAAGAAACCACCATGGTTTTCATGTAGAATATTATTAGTTTCGAGACATATAGTTAACCGTAAACCTGTTGTTTAACACTGATGTAAAACAATTGAGCAAAATTCATCTCATCCAAACTGTCCGACAAAAGTGTGGCCATAGCAACACGTACTGTAATTGACATCGCTAAAAATAGCGCAATGTTTACGTAGACTAAATTATGATGTTTAACTATGAAAGACCGTTACTTACGGTAGTAATTGATCATTAATCCTCGATTGCCCTAAATTTGTTTCTGTCCTGTAGTCAACACAATTACTTCATTTTTCTGAAAGTCTAAATAACAGACTTTCATTTAGGCGGCGTTAAATTGCGATCACAATAATACTTAATATCACCAAACCCTATTATATAACCGATTATTATATTGAAAGTTGTAAACTTTACACACGATACCTAATATTGTACGTTGCATTCACTGCAAATAATGATGACTCATCTTTAACCTGTGTATAAAATCTTGCACCGATCGAATTTTTGCTGCGGCTTTTTTGTTCATGCTTACTTTTTTATCAGCATTGACCAATAATAAGACAGAACGGCATAAAGGGAGGCAACTTATTCGGAATGGGTGCTTTTATAGTCAATGTAAATTTAATAAGATTCTCCAGTATGATAAATTAAGATAAGATGTTATTTTTTTAGTGACTAGTGTTTTGTCAAAAAAAATATTGAAGTAGATAAAAAAAACTGTAAATAGCCATTTGTTTTTTTATACAAATGTAAAACTATCTAGGGAAAAAACATTGTCTTCGCATGATCGATCAGCTCTGTTCCACTTTTTTCCGCGAGCTGATGAGTAAAATAGAGAAAAAAAGAATCCCTAAAGAAAGCCCAACACGGCACATTGAAAATGTTGCAGGCTTCACCTTGGTTTGATTGAGCCTGTTTATGGGCGGTTCTGTCAATTGCAAACTACCGTCCACGCCCCCTAGCAACGGCTTAAGAAGAATTAAACATTTAACATGATTTGGTACAATTTTGAAACATCCGCAGATGTGTTCATATGGCAGTTATCATAGAACCTTCAATGTGACACGTAAGTGCTATTCCATGAAAAGCGGCATATGGTCCCCAATTAAAGGAATGTGTGTTTGTTTGTTTGTTTGTTTCATTTTACGCCTTTTCCCAACAGTATTTCAGTCATATAGGCGGGTAGTTTCCTAACAATCGTCCCTGGAGAGTTACACCAGTACTAGACTACCTTCCTCCGCGCTAAACTACCAAAGCATCTCCCGGGGATCGAACCCACGCCACTCTAACCCCTCGACCTCGGAGGCGATTAAAAAAATGCGTGTGCCTTAAACGAGAAAACAATGGGCGGAACTAAATACAATAGAATTTTGAAAGGAGATAAGAGGTTATGAAGCCTACATATCAAAGATAAGACGACAAAAGACAAATTTATAAAGCAGGCCACATATCCTAAGGGTAATTCAACAGTATTCAAGTGAGGAATACTGGAACCACCCAACAAAAAAATAGCCGAATAGAAAAAAAACTAAATAAACACAAGCACAACTATAATGTCGTGCTGAACGATCTTTAAGGATCGGAAATATAACATCTCTGATTGAATGTACGGGCGACTTTTAAAACCTCAACACGGCACAAACAACGCTGATGTGGTGATAAAATAGAGAAAATAAGAATCCATAAAGAAAGCCCAACACGGCAAACTTAAAAATGTTGCAGGCTCAATTTGATTGAGCCTGTACATGGACGGTACTGTCAAGTGCGAACTACCGTCCACGCCCCCTAGCACCGAGCAATCAACTGTATAGCTAACTCATTCATGGCGTCAACAAATTCCTCTATAATAGCTCATAGTTGAACGATTATCAATGGTACAATTCTTTAAGATAGGACTCACGATATTCACGCCATACAGTGGAATTATGCTTTAAACGCGATGTAATGTGAGGGAATTTCTAGACGATATAGGGTAATAAAAGTGTGATTTTGATTATTTTAATTTTGTTTTCATTTCTGGTTAGAAGGATGCTAGAAGGACCACGCGACCACTCGAGATGCAATTTTCTTTCTTGCATTATTTTAAGGTGCTTCCCTTATAAATTAAACATGGGTGATTGATAATTAACAAAACCTGAGATTCTTCTTAATTATATACTTGCTGTGAACATAACTTTTTTAAATTTTTAATTTACATAATTGTGTTTTAAAATACTTTGCTCAATCGGAACGTATTATTAAAATTTGGAAACAAAGTGATCCCTCAGAAACATTAGTCACAAAAATATTACATGAAAATTGCAGACTCGGTTTGATTGAGTCCGTACATGGGCGATAATGAATAAGTGCAACATCCCTCACGTCCCCTAAAACCGGCTTTAGCGATACTCATTTCTCAACACTTAATAGTGCTGGTATCAATGATCCCGGAGGACCAGAAAATATATATGTAAGTTGCTGTTTTGTACATGTGCCAGGTCGTCCGTCCGTCGAGCATCTACATTGGGGTTTAAGACTATAGAACATTTTGATGATCATTCATAGATTATGAACTCTTTTGTATCACATATTTATTTCCCGGTGAAATCAATTTAAATTTATTGAGATTATTTGTATAATCAATTCGGTTGATCACGAAGACTATTATGTTGAAATAACTTACTTGAAACAAACTATAGAAAATTGTACTCTATATTCTAAACACTGATGTCATGATACTATATTTCATGTACATTAAAATTCAACACCATGTCTGAACAGCATTGTTAGATCTGATATGTCTTGAAATGATTTTTTATAAACCAGCCAATAATACGTTTTAACTTAAGCACAGAAGCACTTCTGCGAGTCGAACTTCAGTAAGTCGATTATTTCGATGCGTCGAAGTGCAAGGAAAAACCGTTTTGCCCTATATATTTTATAATAAACGATATATGAGTCGATTTCTGTTACGAATGTGTTGGTGCTTCGAAGGTTTTTCGTGGTCGGTATAAAGTAAATCGGATACAATTAACTATAAATAAGCCAAACTCCTTCAGTTTTTAAACGCATTTGATCACAAAGCATTTTTCACAACTTTTCTGGCTGCTAAGATAATTGTGTTAATAACACAGCAGTGTGTTCTAATAGCCTTTGTGTACATTTGAATGTGTGATAAAATGCTCTGTTGCCGTTCAAATTGTTGTCTTTGAAAATAACAACTGGTGTAATAATAGCAGCGACAGTAACAGGGGTAACTTAGCATTTTGTTCAGGAAAATGTGTGAAATGTGAATTGTTTGATTTTCTAGTCGGGTCCATTTTGAACTTCAATTCGGAGATAGTTGGAATGCACGAAGAATGCATACTAAATTCAGGGGTTCTTAGGGGTCAAAAGCTCTACTAACTTGTCAGCATTTTATGGTGAGCTTGGTCGTTATTTCTTACATATTACATCGTTCTCATATTTTCGGCCATGACGGACAGAGCAGAAAAAATTCTGTCCCCTTTTTAAAGCAGTGTTTTCGTAACAATTTGAATGTATTATGTTTCTTTGTTAAGAAAACATACGTGGCCCAATTACTACTAATTTCACAGCTGTATTTTACAAGTACTGCAATAACCTTTGTTTTATCTACAACGACAACGAAATATGTATTGCATTTTTATTTATTAACTTGCGAACAAAATACTTGAAATGATATAACACATTTCAAAACAGTAATCATTTAAACATTTTGAACAATGAACAGTAACAATTAACCATATTTCATCATTTACAAATTATTCCATGTGTATAGTGTGTATAATGTTAAACCGAACCACTAAAACAGGTAAATCTACCCTTTGAAAAGTATTTCACGTTTAAGTAAACTACAGTATAGAACATTGATAATAGCAAACACTAGTAAACAATTATTAATTTTCTTCAAATAAAAGGATCCGGTATGCATATCATCGCCACGTAAACATTAGAATAAGATAAATTGGACAACAAATGTTCATTTTGTCTAAATATGATATAAACTCTTTAAAGATGTAAGTGTTGGTACATAAATGTTGCCTAATAGACAGGTAAGTAAATATATCGTTCTTATTTTTGTGCAAAACTAGAAAAGATAAATGTCACGTGAAATTCAATGGACAAACGTCCATCAACACTATAATATGTTATTATGACAATGGAACCTGCGAAACTCTAACAAACGCTTTGTTCACCAAAATGAACATTTTCGAAACTTAATGTGTATATTATCAATGTATTTAATCGGCACATTACATATTATATGTAACGTAAACTTCGATCCTCATATTTTACTTACTCATGTACTGCGTAATCAGCGCTTTAACCTTCTCATTTTTTTTTTAAAAAAACCTGATCCCTTTCCCATATAATTATATATAATATGTATGAACTTGGCCTGTGGATATACTCTCTTAACCCACTCTGTGACTTTTCTGAGTATGACCTAAACCATTGCCGAGCTGTTGAAACAACAACTATGCTGGAATGGCCGACTGTCCCATTGTCATTGTAGTATATTACTACTGGATGCTGTGTGATAGACTCAGGGTTCCAGTAGGCACTTTGGATCTCCCATTTCTTTGATAATATAATTTTCAGCGACATCCATTAAGACACATACATAATCGCTATTTTCTTTGACAGATTCTTTCTCATGCGTAAAAGACTAATATTGGGTTTTAACTCTTTCAGCATGAGGTCTAAAATCTTTAATTCTGAGTACATGTCAGTCGTAAATGTCTGTACCTTGTGCGAAACGAACAGCTTTGTTATCTGTTTTCCGTCTTCGCATTTTACGCGTTTCCATTCGCGAAAAGGTTACTTTTGGTTCAGTGATTTTGGTATTCATTTCCTCTTTTAACATGACTGTGGTGGATGTTTTCGTAAAACTTTTGGGGCTTGTACGAGGATTAATCAAAAGTTCTTGGCCCGATGTTCTTCTGGTAGTCAGAAAACCTAACGAATGGTCTTACTCCCTCCTCTACATCAATGTACTTGCCCGACTGTGCTCCGACTTGTTTAACCCTTCAAAATAGAACTGTCTATTTTTGTCCTCAAAGAACTCATTGACCGCCTCCATGACAACTTCATTGCTTCCAAAACGTCTACCATGAAGCTTAGTTTTCAGTTTCGGAAATAGGTAGAAGTCAGAGGAGGGCAGGTCTGGATAAGCCGCGGTCAGTTATTGCAGCCATCGCAACATGGGATGTGTGAGCTGGCAAATTGTCGTGCAGGAACAGAACGCCTTGAATCAATCATGATTATCCCCTGACTATTCCAAAAAAATGAAGCCATCATCTGCCCTCCTGATGGCACCCTCTTGAATTTCTTCGGAGGGTTGAGCCAGTGTGCTTTCACTGCATGTTCTGGTTTTATATTCTGGATTGAAGTGATGTATCCATGTTTCATCCTATGTTACGATCCGGTAGA